AAATTCGAAGCCAACGAAGCTTTGTGCGGTTCACGAAACGGTTTAAAGAAGGACGCAAGTTGTGCTGTGCTCTCTGACTCCTCTTGAGAGTCCGCGAGTCAGAGCTGTAATTGATTCCATAAGATAGGAATCAAACGAGCATGCCGCAGGTTTCATCGTTGACAGGTTATGCGCGTGTCATGACGAGACACACCATGGCCAATACGGTGTGGCATCCTTCTAACATGCGACGGATCACAACTCCGGCCATCCTCGTCGTGTAGCCACTGTTGCAGCGGAGGAGGAGGGGGGGGGGGGGCAGACCCCTCTGCTGACCCTGAGTCAGAGATATGGAGGCAAAACAGTGGGGCGACTGGCCCGTCAATTTACATTTTACCTCAGATCACCTGCTGTCATCTCCTGCAACTTACCGGTAAGGTGAGGTTAAACGGTTTTTGATATAATTTTTGCCGTGTCTACGATTTTTGACAAGTGTCTGTAAAGTCAAGCTAGTGCAAGTTGAGGCAAGTCACCATTGCACCATTCATTCTCCCAAGGACCACGTAAAGTCACCTTAGGTCACCCCGCGGCCTCCAATGTGATGTCACCTGAGGTCACCCCGCGTCCTCCAATGTGATGTCACCTTAGGTCACCCTGCGGCCTCCAATGTGAAGCCACCTAAGGTCACCCTGCGGCCTCCAACGTGAAGTCACCTGAGGTCACCCCGCGTCCTCCAATGTGATGTCACCTTAGGTCACCCCGCGTCCTCCAATGTGAAGCCACCTAAGGTCACCCTGCGGCCTCCAACGTGAAGTCACCTGAGGTCACCCCGCGGCCTCCAACGTGAAGTCACCTGAGGTCACCCCGCGTCCTCCAATGTGAAGTCACCTGAGGTCACCTCGCGTCCTCCAACGTAAAGCCACCTAAGGTCACCCTGCGGCCTCCAACGTGAAGTCACCTGAGGTCACCCCGCGTCCTCCAATGTGAAGTCACCTGAGGTCACCCCGCGTCCTCCAATGTGATGTCACCTTAGGTCACCCCGCGGCCTCCAACGTGAAGTCACCTGAGGTCACCCCGCGTCCTCCAATGTGAAGCCACCTAAGGTCACCCTGTGGCCTCCAACGTGAATTCACCTGAGGTCACCCCGCGTCCTCAAATGTGATGTCACCTGAGGTCACCCCGCGTCCTCAAATGTGATGTCACCTGAGGTCACCCTGCTACCTCCAGTGTAAAGCCACCCGAGATCACCCCATGTCATCCAATGATCTTAACCATCGGTGACCGTGTGCTTCGGAACGTCATGTACAGCTCTGATAGCAGCGTCTCACGAGAAGTTCATTAACTACAGGTGGCGTCGTTCTGAAGGCCTGACATGGCTTGATATTGACGTCATATTACACTAAAGATAAGCGTCAGCCACCGTGGCTAACAATGGAATAGATCTTAGATCCAATTTCGCTTACTTTTCAAGATCTCACCTGATATGCCCTCTAACTCGGACGACGTTTCCAGCGGTCACGTACTGATTACTGGCATCGTGTATCCTCTTTATCCTTGCCCTGAACACAAAGATTAGCGCGTACAGAGAGAAGGATCCGTCGCGATTTCGAAACGCTGATTCTCTGTGTTTTGGCTGCGGAGACCTTGAAAAGCGAACTCATCAAATACATGAGTTGTACCTCATCTGACTTAGCGAATGGTTTCATCCTGCAGCTGAGATGAGCGAGCATCACTGTACGTTAAGTGGGCAGAAAGATACTGTTTAAGTCCACGTGTTAGAAAACTGAGGGTCCAATAAACCCATGTGTGTCCATATGGAATGGTTAACAGTTTGGCTGGATGCAGATTTTGGGATAACTATGGCCATGAATACGAATGTGGGTGTGACGTTTATGGTATGGCGGACCAATGGTTCAAAAACGCTACGCAGTGATGCTGCTCGCGCTTCTTTTGTAACAATTAACTTCATCCATGACACACGTTGTCGTTGGCGCCATATGGCCGGGTGCTTGGTGCACCCTGAAGCCCAAATC